CACTCATAAGCTTGCCTCTTTTCTGTTCACCATTTTACATGACAGAGTTAACTATTCTAATTCAGACAGCATGAAACACACACCATATATATCCTGTGGTCTTCCGGTGACACTCAATGAACTAACAGATACAACCCTGCTGGTGCAAAAGAAAAAAAACATCATGATAATAAGCTGTAAATGTTAGTTTTATTATTCTTGTGAATGATGTGATCAATCCAGCCGTTTTATTCTACAGCTCAAGATAAGAAAACCAATTAGTTACCCATATTTTACAGTGCTTTTAGTGTTAAAAAAAAAACATGTTATTTGGCACACTGCTGATCATGATCTTCATAAGATCTCTTATTTGTGTGTTAGAAATCAAAGTCACCTCAATGACTGTCAAAATGCATTATTGCTGTAAAACCTTGAAAAAATTGCCAGAAAATTCTTCTCAAATTAAAAAAAGAAATTTAATCTTAAATATACAAAAAGTCATTAAGCAATAAACAGTTAACAGAAAGGTTTCTGTTTTTTACTTTCTAATATAGAAATATACATTTTTTAGGACTACAATTAAAAAACAACAATAAAAATAAATAAAATACAAAACTGGACAATCTGGGCAATGAGCTATTTGTATCTGACAATATAAATATAAATATTTGCCCTCTAACTGTGGTGAGAAAGTAACACTGTGTATCTCTGTCCTGCTGTCTTTGACTGTCTTTCTTCTCGTCATCATAGTGACCATAAGTCTCTGTCCTGGGGGATTTATTTCTTTATTACAGCAGCTTTTTCTTTATCATTTAGAAAAACAGTTAAATATGTAACTTCTTTCCACTGACAGAAAGGGGAGTTTCACCACTTAAGTAGTGGGCTGTGTGTGGCCTGCAACATAAAATCAGTTTGACACTCCTGATCTAGATCTTCCCCCTCTCTCATCCTGCCGTTCCTCCAGCATGTGCACATTTGCCTGTTTGTTGTATGATCCACCAAAGGCACACCACCAGTAATACCATCAAGGTTATCACTCCATAACGCAGTAACCTTGAAGAGATGAAATTCACTGGAAAGCACAAAAAGACAGAATAAACTAAAATTAAAAAATAAAAAAATTATCTATTTGAAAGATTTTTGAAGCATACAGACATTCTTACCTTTGACCTGAAGAAATACTTTGTTTGTTCCATGAACTGTGTACTCATGCTCATAGAAGCATTT